TAATACGAGGAGAAAAAAAACGGGAACGTATGGGGGTAGGCCGGGGCGGCAGTTTCAGTGACGGTGGAGCGAAAGAGGTTTTTAAAAAACGTCAAAAGAGTTAAGGAATTCGGTTTCTCTGCTTTCTTGTATGGCTCCCTTTTCTTTTCTTCTTGTATCCTTATTCGTTCTATTCTTTTGTATGTGCATTTATCCTCGAGGGGTGGCGTGTGCGTTGTTGTTGTTGTTGTTTTCTTTATTGTGTTGTGGTGCCAGTCTGTTTATTGTGCCGATATATGACATTATATATATATATATGTCTATGGGTTGGTCGGCGACCACTCCTGCATTACAGTGCACCCACTCTTGCCGTGCTACCTTCACACACGCATGGACTCTCTCTCTCTCTCGCACGCACGCACGCACGCACGCACGCACGCGTGTGTGCTCTCGCCTTACTTTTCTCTGGGCACTTGGAAGAGGGAGGCTAAGGCGAAGCGGATATTCTCAAGGAGGTCGACAGTTACACCGCTGCGTGTGTGTGGCTTTGAGTGCTCACACAGAGAGGCGAAGCGGAGGCAGGCGACCAAAGCAAAAGCAGACAAAAAAGGGGCGGTGCGTGTTAGTGGGCATCACGAACCAGAGGATGACGACGTCAACGAATGTGTCTGAGGCGGAAATGATGTCGTCCACAGCTGCCCCTCCGTCAGTGTCACTGCCGAAGGTGGTCGAGCACGCGCTGTCGTCGAGCAAAACGGTGGTCCGCAATGTATCACGGGCGATCCTCAACAGCAGCTCCGCCAATGAGGGACCGGGCCCGCACATGGGCACCCCAGCTGCAAAGAGGCGCATGTGCGGTGGGATGATTGGAGCACCGCGCCGCGAGCACACCCCAATGCATGGATTCAACGGATGCGAGGGAATGCAGGGTGAGGAGTCTAACGGAGTGCAGGCGGCAGCTTTGTCTGGCAGCCCTAGGAGCGCCCAGCTTCCGTCGTGGACGCCGTTCGCCGCATGGCTTATTGCCCTTCTTCTTTTCTCGGTGCTTGCGGCCGCGATGACTTACCGGTTTCTGCGCTCAAGGCGCTTGTCGCGTGAAGAGTACGAGGAACTCGTGGATGCGGGTGGCTCGGCAACGGCGGCGGTGGATGACACCAGGGGGAAGACACGCCTGGACGGAAACGCCTCGCGGCAGCGTTTCCTGCAGTCGCGCCGGGCGGCTGCACAAAAATCGTACGGCACGGAGACGCCCACAAAGTAGCCGGGCGTTGGAGCGGGGCACGGGGGAATAGGGAGAAGCAAAAGAGAAAAAAAATGCGGGGCGAAAAGCGCGGACCCCATAATTTGCTTCGGCTGCACGGCTGGCGTGGAAGTGTGGCCCGCGTGGAGGCGACGGGAGTGGGCGCAGTAGTGCCGTGGGTCGTCACGCCTGCCAAAACCGTCAACGCCCGCGGGCAGCACAGCCACGACGGAGAGCGGCTGGAAAGGGGCACGTGCTTCCCCCGCCGCTACGCGGCGAAGCAGAAGCAAGTGAAACAGATAAAAGGGCAAAGACAAAAACAAAATGAAACGGGCTGGAGAGAATCATGCCTGGAGAATTTGTGCGTTGGAAGGGCGTTGGTTACTACTTTGTTCCTTCTTTTTTTTTTTTTGCATTTATACGTGTGTGTGTTTGCGTTGCGACGCCAGCCACGATAAGCGTGAAAGGCGACGCACATCTGTACCTCTCAAACTGACCTGCGACAAAAAAAAAGAAATGAAGAAAGAAGGTGCTGGAGAAGAAAGGGGAAAAATGCTATTGGCTTTCGTTTGCTTGTTGCTGTGTCTTCAGGTGGAGACCTTCCTGCGGGCTGTCGCTGCGGAGGCGAGCTACACCACGGCTGGGCTGCCGCGTCTAACGCCCCAGGGCCCGGGTTGGGGGTACGCCAACCAGTCTGCGTGGCCGCGGCTGTGCCAAACAGGCAGGCAGCAGAGCCCTGTCTCCTTCTCCGAGCTCAAACCGCATGAGGTGGTCTACCTTAAGGACGCAGGGCCGCTGGCCTTCTCACGCGGCTGCACCTTTGCGGCGGAGAAAACAACACTTAAAATTGCGAACGAGGTCAACACTATATCCGTGCGGCTGATCCCCCTCGCTGACCCGCGCAATGAGCTCCCCAGCCCCTGCACCCTCCGCGACCCGACGACCCCGAATTCGACTGAATACCACCTTGCGTCAATGCACTTTCACTCACCCGCGGAACACGTCTTTCCACGTGCGGCCCCAGACGCGGAACTGCATCTTGTATTTACTCAAACACAAACGTCGAAAAAGACGCGCCTGATGGTAGTGGCGGTGCAGCTTATTGCATCAGATAAGGTAAACACCACCGCCGTGGCAGAACTGCGCCACATCTTGCTGGCCGGACCACTTCCTCCGAAGAATGCCTTTACGACGTGCACTCTGGAGGAGGACCTCGCCATTGAGGGGCTACTCCCACGGCGTAGAAGCTTTCTCGCCTATACTGGATCACTAACTACGCCCCCGTGCACGGAGGGAGTTCGCTTTGTTGTCTTGACCTCCCCGCAGCTCATCTCCAGGGAGGCTTTGAAGAGACTGACCCAGGCGTTCATGCAGGCGCGCCCGGGGAACCACGATGGCAATCGCAGAGCAACGCAGCCGCTGAATGGACGCATTGTGTACCGCTATTTTGATCGGAATCACTTAAACATGTCGAAGTCCAAGGGGGAAATGAAGGATTACTACCCGTACACTTCCTCGGAAGCAGATGTGTGGGGTGACGGAAAGTTAAAGAAAACAGCTCCATCCGACGCACTCGCCAGTTCAGACTTCGCTGACGCCGAGGCCAACAAACACGCATCACGTGGAAAGGTTCATGCGTGGCCCCATCCATTGCAGCGACATGAAGTGATATGGCTCATCTCCGCTGCCGTCATCCTTTTTCTCGTGACGGCTATCTTGTACCGGTGTCGGAACAGCAAAGACGGTGCCGGAGTCGGGAGAAACGAGGTGGAATCGCTGCTGCGCGAAACCAGCGGATACGGAACAAATCCTTAGAAAGTTGGGCCTCGAACTTGGCAGCATTTCCGTCGAGGAAATAGGGATATTTTTTCTTTTTTCTTTTCTTTTTTCTCGTCCTTGGGCCAACTGTGGCGTTCGCACAGTTGCTGCACGAGTTGGCACGGTGTGGATGTGTGCAGAACTCGACGACGACGACGACGACGACGAAAGAGAAAGTGGACTCAGCGTGAAGGAAAGGGCGAGAAAAGAAAGAAAAATAAGGGCTACAAATCCTTCACGTACAAAAGGCAGGGGAGGAAAAGGGATGGGTGAGGAGCCGATGGAGTATTTAGGAAGAGGAGAGGGACAAGGTGTGAAGGGTATGGGGTGTCCTTATATCCCCCTCTGTGTGTGTGAGTGTGTAGGGAAATATCCTCCGTCTCCCGTGAATGTGTGTTCCCCCTCCCTTTTTTTTTTCCTTCATTTTATTGTCGTTGTTTTGGATCTCTAAGCATCCCTGTCTGTCTGTCTGTACATCTCTCTGCCCGTGGCTTTCGCTGTCCATCAGTTGGCCCCTGTAAGCTCTCAGGCGTGCGTGTCGGCACAGATGCATGCATCCACCCCGAGCACACAATTCATACCTTCTTTCATTTTATTTTTCCTCTTGTTGTGTATATCTTTGGCTCTCTTGGCGCCATCATCCTGCATTGCGCCTCACTGGAAGCGCGTACTTGTGCAAACTCGCACACATACAGGGTGAGATAGAGAGAGAGCGCGCCGCGGCCCCCCACCATTCGCTACCAACATTATTATTGACGTCGTCGTTGTGGCACAAAGAGGTAGAAGAAGCGAAAAAGGAACACACATACACGCACTCACGCACAGTTTGGAAGAAGATATTTAAAAAAAGGGGGGGGGAGCGTGAGTGAGGAAGGAGTAACCTTTGCCTTTTCCTTCCATTCTGTTTCTGCCCAAGCATGGCCTTACCACACCTCCTTGCCGCCTGCAAGGACGCAGTGTGTGTTGCAGAGGATTACGGCGTTGCTTTTTATGCCCCAAAGAACCTAAAGAAATTTCGTGTGGAGTCGCTCAGCGGGGCGCGTGTCGTTGGGCTGTGTGTTTCGGCAAGCGCAGGTGGTGAAATGCAGCTTCACGTTGTTGACGCCGAGGCAAACTGGTTTCTAATCTCCCTCGCCCACGTGGAGGTACTGGCGTCCTCATCCATTAAGTGGGGCGAAGATTCTTCGCCAGAGCCTGGAAACAGGCCGGTCGTCTCGAGTCGGCGAGCTGCGCTGGACAGGAGCCGCGTGCAGAGGGAGGGGGGGATTTTGGAGGCGCACTTTCATGAGGCGCGGGGGGAACTTCATTGCGTCTTCCTCGCAGCCACTGGAGTCTACGAGGCGTCGCTGCGGGACACGTCGCTGATAAGGGCGGAGCAGATCATATCTTTCCCCATCGCCCTGCGTGACTGCACCATGGCAGCAGGAAGGTCAACTGGCCTGGTTCTCGTGGGGCAGCGCGGTGAGAGGTGGGCGCAGTACTCCATGCATGGCAATCGTGATGCTCACAGCCCCAGGCAGCTCGCGCTGCCTGTAGGCATTCAGAGCTTAACATGCAATCCGGTTCGCAACTCGGTGGCTGTGGGTGGCACACGCGGGGAGCTGGTAGTATTTCCTTCCGTCACTGAGAGCCACTACTTCTCGGATCATTGGCATCATACCCCCCTGACCGCCTTGAGTTTTTCAGTAGACGGCAATTCACTCTTCTCGGGGGCCAGGGAATCGGTGATGTTAGTGTGGAATATGTCTTCCTACGCCTATAAGAAGGTTGGATGTAGCCTAGGACCAATTCGCTGTATTCTGCCCTCTGCCTCTGCCTCTTGTGGATCGCAACTTGTACTCGCCTGCGCAGAGTCAACGCTTGCCACGCTTGACCTGCTGCAGATGCGAGTGGAGGGGTTTATTGAGGGCGTTCAATGGTCTGCGGCTGAGGCCTGCAGTGGACTTGTCGTGGGACGGTGGATGGGGCAACCTGCCGTGATTCTTACTGGGTTGCCCAACGTGCTGCGCGTGTGCGACCCCTTCACCCAGCAGTCGCTTTACTCGCTTCACATTTCCTCTCAGATGGAGACGATTCCCATTCCTCCTCGCCATGGCATTCAGCACGTGGGATTACTGAATGATAACCGGACGATTGTGACGTATGAAGAGTTTGCAGGCACTTCGCTTCCTCCCTTGCTGCGCTTCTGGGCCTATGACACACACACCAAACAACATGTGGAGACACAAGTCATTTACTCGCCTCACAGTAGTCGTGTGATTGCGCTGCAAACCGATGAAGTACGTGGACGCGTCTTTACGCTTTGTGCCAACGCGATGAAGTGTTGGGGAGAAGTAACTGAGAACGTGAATGACGCCTACGCCACAGGCCAGAAGGGTTGGGCAAATAAATCTACCTCGGCAACGCCATCGCACCTTGTACAGGACATGATTCTTGCCACCGATGGCTCACTGTGCTTTGTCTCAGACGACAGTGTACATGTCTATGGCGTAGCCAACGTCTACCCAGGGCAGCCTTGGCACCGCCTACTCACACTCACGCAGTTGGTTTCCTTGGCGCCTCTGCAGGAACTGCAGCTGCTGAGCGACAACCGAGTCGTGGCGGCCCGTGATGAGACGAGAGTGTATTTTTGGTCACTAGTCGTACCTCATCGGCCTGCAGTCATCTGGAAGGCGAATCACGCCAGTGTGAGAGCGATGTGTTCGTGTTCGGCTACCTCTGTTCTGGTGGCGACCAGTGATGGAGGGTTTAGCGAGCTCTGCGGTGCAGCGCAGCAGATGGGGGAGGAATTAGGGCGGCACGCCTCGGCGACCATCCCGCACCGCATTACTTTCATGCGGTGTCTTCCGGGGGCGGGGAAGGAGCGGGTGGCGGTGGTAGACGAGGTCTCCGGCTTCCGCGTGCTGCACGTCGCGCTGGCGGCCACCAACGCGCAGGAGGTAAAAGAGGGGCAGGCCGAAGAAGACGGTGTGTGGGTGCAGAAGTTCGAAGGAACAAGCGGCCAGGCACCGCGTGTCGGCGGCGACGAAAAGCAACTGGGGCACTTCTTCCACGACGTTGCCCACACCAACAAGCCCTCTGAGGTGGGGAGGGAGGAGTCGTCGCTGGGCGCGGCGCGTCGCGCGACGGAGGCGAAGAAGTGGCTGGGGGATGTCCTGGCGGATTCCGCCTACACGGCGCCGCCCATGAGCTCCGTGCTCTCGTCGTACCTCAAGAAGCGGTCCGGTATTCCAACCTTGTGAGCACCTGCGGCGGCCCTCAGCGTAGCGCAAAGCGGGCATGGAGGTTGGGGAGGGGGAAGGAACGGTGGGGTGGGTGGAGCCGGGCGAGGACGCAAACCAGCAGATGCACCGCAGCAGGGGGAGGAAAAGAGGGTGTGACGGAGACAACATCGTAAGGAACAAAATGAATGGGGGGAAGCGAAGTAAAAAAAAAAAAACCGTTTAAGGAATTTCCACTTAACGCGGAGCAGAAAGTAAGGGAGAGAATCCCACTGTTAATGCACACCCTCGTGCATTTGAGCTGAAGTGTCACATTATTATTATTGGGTTATTCATTTTTTTGTTTTCGTTGTTGTTGTTTTTTTTTTGTTCTTGAGCTTACTTGCAGACACCCCGGTCGCAACGCTGCTCGTTTTTCTTTTTATGCGTTTCTTTCTGTGCTCTCGCTGCTCTCTTTTCGAGGCCTGGATTGGGGCCGAACAAGTTGCCGGCGGTGAACGGATGCAGCATACCGCAGCTTTAGAGGATGCGGACGAGACCCTGCGGGTACTGCGACGTTGTTCAGTTCACTTGCAGTACTTCGGCGATGTTCGGCGTTGCATGCCAGCCATCCTTCAGCAGCAGCAGCTTTCTCAACGGCTGCTGCTACTCTATTTTTCCTTTGTGGCGCGTGATCTGCTTGGGGAGGACTGGAAGAATGACCTTGACGTTGGGAGCACGGAGAAGCGCAACTTGTTCGAGGAGATACGCCTCTGCTACAGCACAGAAACAGGAGGGTTTCATCCGGTGCCTGTAAACCACTGCGCTACAGGCGCCACATTGGCTATGACGCAGTGTGCGCTCCAAATGTTAAACCTCACCGGTCTCCTTCCCAATGCCACCGAGGAGTGGCTGTGCAGGGAGAAGGTCATGTCCTTTGTGACGTCTTGCCAAGTTGGGGCCGAGTGCCCGCTCTTTGGAGAGTCTTTTCTAGGCGCGTTTCAGGCAGCCCCGGCGATTGCGGAGGTGGATCTCAGATTCACCTACTCTGCTCTCGTCTCGATGGCGTTGCTGTGCGCACCGACACCACTTGCTGCTGTGCCATCGCTCCAAGACATCCTCCAGGCGGCCGTCAGCTTCATTTGGCGTTGTTGGAATCCACACGAGGGGGGATTTGGAGCGGTGCCCGCTGCGGAATCTCATGGTGGAATGACTTTTTGCGCGGTGGCGTCGCTGGCGTTGGCTGGTGCAACTTCGTCCTTGACGCGGAGCCGCCGTCATCTGCTGGCACGGTATTGCACCGCGCGCCTCTCGGGGGGGCCTGATGATCACGAGCTCGTTGGCAGCGTGGGGGTCTGTGTGCCGATCGTTGGGTACCAGGGGAGGCCCCAGAAGAACTGTGACACCTGCTATACGCACTGGATTGGCTCCACTCTCCGCATTCTTCAAGCCCTCGATGGCTCGGTGTTTCCCGTGGATGCTCTTCCCGTCCTCAGGTACATTGACGCCTGTGTTGAGCCCCATCACGGTGGCATTTGCAAGACCTTGGATGAATTTCCAGAGATCGTTCATACAAGCCTGGGACTTTCGGGTCTCCTCCTGCATGTTGATCCCCATCGCTTATCGAACCTGCGACCACCACATCCAGCGTACGGCTGTTCGTGGACTACGGTGCGAAACACAGGATTGCCTGAGCTTTTGCACCCCCCGCCGCGCACATCCTAGCATTGGGCTTATTTTTTACTGGACAGATGATCTGCGTTTTCCCTACTTCTTTATCAGCGGTCGTCTTGTCGGGACCGCCGCGCGGGAAGAAGGAAACTGCATGACAAAGCATCTGCTGCTGCCCAAACCGGTGAACGCGAGAAGGCGGGTGCCGGAAAACTTTGACATGAAAACGTGTTTTCTGCTTGACTTCACGAAGCTCGTCGTTTGGTTTGGCGCTTTTTTTTGGAAACCGCGCGCATCTGCAGGGCACTGTCTTATCCCGAATAACTCTGCCACTTTCATCTGTGTATTGTATGGAGGATTTTGCTGCGCCATTCGCTCGCCTCCTTTACTCATTCCCCCCCCCTTTTTTTTTTGTCTTCCCCTGTTGGCCGCTTTTTTGTTTGCTTGTTTGTTTTTTTGGCGTTGAATGCCTTTTTTTTCGCTGAGGTCCTATGAGGACGGGATGCGCATTATCGTTTCATGCAGGGCAACTGAACTTGACTCGGTGACGTCATTTGTTCGGGCAACGCGAATGCCCGCGCCTGCGGTTGTGTGTGCCGCTGAAACTACTGCTGGCCTTGTCACCGGGCAAGTCCAAGCCGCCTTGGAGGGCTGGGGATGTCGCACTTACGAAGATGTTCAGCGCGCGGGGGCGTCGGAGGTGGAGGTTGTGACCATTGGAGTCGGTGACGTTGTGCTGGATGAGCTCCTCTCGAACTGCGTCTCGCGCCACGTTGTGCGTGCGTGCCTCCCCGCAGCGGCTTCCGTTGCGGCGTCGTTGGTGGTCTTTCTGCCCCGCCATGATGTGCGACACAGTGGCATAGACGTTACAGCGCGACTGTTTCCGCAGGCCGCGGTCGGTGGCGGCGGCGGTGGTGTGCCCATTGCCGACGCCGCCGAGTACAGCCGGCTAATAGATGCGGTGACAGGCAGCCCCTCCTTCTGCCGCATAACCCGCTCTTCCTCCTTGCTGCTGCGGCTGAGCCTTGCGCGGGGGAATGCACTTTGTGCGGTGTGTATGTGGTGGCTGCAGGCGACGCATGTGCGTTCATTTTTTTCCACCAACGTACCGTGTGACGCGTGGCGATCCCCGCATCGCGTTGTGGTTCTCTCCGTGCGCGACACGAGTGAGTTGCAGCGGTGGGTGACTTCCATTGAAGCCGCCCCTCAGGTTGCCACTTCCCTCGCCGCGCAGTCCGCGGAGCGCCCTGCCCTGGCGGAGATGGAACTGCTAGAGGAGGAGTTGCGGACCGTTCGTGACGACGTC